CACGTGCAATGGAAGCTCACACACTCAGACACTCCAGCACCTCATGGACACACACACTCTCACCCACACACACCGCAGGGGCTTATACACTCAGACACCCCACATTCTCACAAATACACACATAGACACACTCCCCACATGCGCCGGCATACCTATGCACATCCCACATAGACTTATATGGGAGAAAAATTGTGGGTTTTACCTGCCCCTCACACAGAGCACCACAGACGTGCTGTTTGTCTGGGACTTGTTAACACAGCATTTGTTCCCAATTCCACATTCTGAGAGCTCCCCTTGAGCACACATGTGTTCACCTCTCAGAAGCAGGGAGCTCGACGGGGCTGAAGTCATTAGTCCCAAGGAACTAACAAGGACAGTGAGTCTGACAGGGTTAATGAACTTGCCAGTGGCAGAGCCCACACTCTGGTTTCTCCATCCTGGGTTGCATCACCCCTGCACCCTCATTCAGACCTGTGGGAGCAGCCAGCCTCTCCAAAGCCTGCAAACTCTGTGGGAACAGGGACTGTGCGCATCTCGTGTCTATACAAGCACATGGACCAGGGAGGCAGTAGACTGCACTGTGAACAGTTGGACCTAGATTCAAACCTTAGTGCCACCGATTACTAGCTGTATGACCTTGGACAAAATGCATGACCATTCTGATCCTCAGTTTTCACGTCTACATCTGCTTAATAGTGTATGCCCATTGCTATTGAGTCAATTCTGACTCATAGAGACCCTATAGGGCAGAGTAGAACCACCACACAGGGTTTCCAAGGCTGTAATCTCTACAGAGGTGGATTGCCACATCTTTCTCCCACAGGGTGGTTGGTAAGTTCGAACCACCAATCTGTTAGTTAGCAGCCTAGTACTTAACTGCTGGGCCAACAGGGCTCCTTAGTATTGTTACAGAAACTATCAGCCAGCAGCCAGTTGCCGTCCAGTCAATTCCGACTCATGGCGGCCCCACGTGTCTCAGAGTAGGACTGGGCTCCATACGGTTTCCTTTCCTTCTTTTTTCAATTTTATTTACTTATGTTGTTGCTGAGAATATACACTGCGCAGCATCCACCAAATCAACAGTTTTCCCATGTCTTTAACGACACTGAGTCCATTCTTCCAGTGGTACAACCATTCTCACCCTCCTTTTCTAAGTTGTTCCTCCATGACTAATATAAACTCACTGCCCCTAAGTTTCCATCCAATCTTTCCATCTGCTGTTGTCAATTTAATCCCATTTGGACAGACCTTAAAAAAGCCAGTGCTCAGGCAGACATTCTTAAGGTAAACTTAATTACTGTTTGAAGACTTCAGGGGAATATTTTGGGTTTAAAGTTCATAGATTATCTCAGGGCAATAGTTTCAGGTGTTCATCCACCTTCCATGGCTCCAAACAGTCTAGCATCCATGAGAACTTAAAATTATGTTCTGTATTTTCCCCCTTTTGATCAGGATTCTTCTATGGAATGTTTGATCAAAATGTGTAGTAATGGTAGCCAGGCCTCATCCATTTCTTCTGGTCTTATTGCAAAGGAGACAATTGTTCATGGAAGCAATTAGCCACACATTCTATATTCCATATCCTCCCCCTATTCCTTCCTATCCCTCCTCCTTTCTTTGTTGTTTCAGGTGACTAGACAACAATTGTTGTGCTTAGATGGGTGCTTGCAAACTCTAGCCACTACACAATGAACTAGGAGATAGAACAGAAGCACTGAACACTTTATTAGGCCATTTAACTGGGAAGTCCCATGAAACCGTGACTTTAAACCTCCAAACCAAGGAGCCAAATCCTATGAGGTATTGGTCCATAAGCAGCCTCAGCAGCTACTCTGTTGTTGTTGTTGTAAATGTCTCTATCACACAACTTTTGCCAATTCAGCTTTTTACAGGTGTACAATTTATGGACAGCAATTCCAGTCATCAGCTGGGCAAACTCACCCTTAATCAGTGTGATTTTCCCATCACTGTTAACCTCTCTTGTCCCTCTACTTCCTGTCCGTGGTAAGCACTAATCGACTTTGGTCTCTCTCTTTGCCCTTTCTCGTCCTTTTATGGAAGTGAGATCACACAGTAGTTGTCATTTGTGATTGGCTTATCTCACTCAGCCTGTCCTCCAGCCCCATCCACCCTGCAAGCATGCATCAACACCACTTCTCCCACTGGCTGAGTCGTGTCCCATTGCAGGTGTGCACCACGCGCTGTCCATCCAATCATCTATTGATGGATGTTGAGGTTGTTTCCACCTTTTGGCCATTGTGACTACTGCTGCAATGGCCACTGGCAGACAAGTCTCTTTTTGCGTCTTTGTTCATAGGGTTTTTAATGGCTGATTTTTTCAGACGCAGATTGCCAGGCTTTTCATCCAAGGTGCCTCTGGGTGAGTTTGGGCCGCCTGCCTTTTGACAAGCAGCTGAGCATGTTAACTGCTCCCATCACATAGGGACATCATGGGAATTATGGGAGGTATTTCATGAATGTTGGTGAATGTTTGTTAGATGAACTGAAGACACACACATGCACACACACATATATGACATGAGTCATAGTGCTAGTAAAGCTCACCAAATGTAACCCCTTCAACAAATATTGAAGGAAGAAAAGGAAGTGATGAAACAATTAATTCCTATCTGTACCCCACTGCCATCAAGTCAATTCTGACTTGTAGTGACCCCCATAGGGTTTCCAAGGCTATAAATCTTTACGGACGTAGATTGCCTCATCTTCCTTCTGCGGAGCAGCTGGTGGGTTTGAGTCACCAACCTTTTGGTTAGCAGCCAAATGCCTTAGGCCCTGCGCGACCAGGGCTCCCTAATTCCTATCCGCCATACTCTTTATCATACATGAAATTCCAGAGAACCCTTGGCTAGGCTTCCGAATCACTACTCCTTCCCCCTGCTCTGTTTCTCTTCCTGAGCTGGCACTGTCTTCCTTTGATGATAGAGCCTTCAAATCACGCTTAACTATCCGATAGGGCAAGCCCTCCCTCAGAACTTACTCCCTCAAAGTGTTCTTGGCAAGTCTCACAGAGGCTTTCCTCCATATGAACGCTCGTAACACTTTTTCCATTACAGTCCCGCTGGGGCCCTGATTGCATTTGCATTCCCTTCCTATATTGGCTGCGGAAGCATGGCCATGTATGGGCTTGCACTGGAGAGCTCGGCGCTGGCTTCTGAACGCTGCCCAGTGCAGCTCACCTCCATTTGTCTAGTCGCTCTCCCTGGGGGCTTTAAGGTGCCTGAGAACTCAGGCACCTTGCCTTTGTTCCAGAAGCTTCCAGGATCGCGAAACTAGAGGGCAGCCTTGGGTTCCCAGAGAAGGTCCCCAGGAGGGGGCTGCATTCCCTCCTTCCCCTCTCCTTTGCTGCAATCCCTCCGGCTGAGCCCTGGCTCTGTACTGACTGGGATCTCCCCAGGCTGAGCCGGGAGCCCTCCTGGAGGAGGACTTACCACGGGCCTCGCCTCCCTCCCCTCACTCAGCCTCAGGCTGCTAACGGCCAGCCTCACCTCTTCTCCGTCCACTCCCTGTCCTCCAGGCAGAGTGACCTGTGGAGCTCAAGCCGCAGCCCTGACACAAGCTGACCCGACTCCCCCGGGGGCTCCAACCCGTGAAAATGCTGTGTTCCTCAAACTGGGAGAGCTCAGGGAGGGGAAGCAGGGTTTGGTATCAGATCTGAGTTTGAGTCCTGGCTGCAAAATTAACTGGGAGACCCTGGTCAAGTCCCTCGCTTGTGCCCGAGTCTCCATTTCTTTTCATTTGCAAAACGGAACTCACATCCTCTTGGGAGGGTGGTTTGGCACCGTCTCTGGGCAGACACTATGCATGGTGTGGAGACAGATGTAACAAGAAGCGTTCAGACACACTCCAGCCTGCACTCTGCAGACCTGGGCTGGGAGGGTACCCATCACCCAGCTAGTAAATGCAGCTCGCCTGCAGCCCCGCTTGCTCTCAGTCTCAGACCCAGGTGAAACAGAATCAGAGTCTCTGAGGCCCTGGGCCCACGGCTCAACCCTGCACCTCAGTTTTCTCATCCATGAATGGGCACATTGATCCCAGGAAGCCTCTGTGTGGGTTGGTAATGAGCCTTGCTACCACCTCCTCTCATCTCGTGGCATTGCCAATGGCAGTGAGCCCTGGCCAGCCCTGGGGTCTTGGATTCCAAAGCTCTGCCAGCTGCTTGCCTCCTGCCTCCTGCTGCCTGCCCTCTGTGTTTGCTGCCCACACCATGCCTGGCCCCACGCGCAGCCCCATGTCGTGCTTCCCTGGCATCCTAGGGGTGCAGACTGTGGTCTTTTTCTTCCTCTGCCCTGGGATGGACATGGGGGAGAGAGAGACCCCTCAGGGGCACTCCTGGAAACAGTGGGCTTCACGCCAGAGCCCGAGTATGTGCAGTGTGTAAACTGTAGAGGGCTGTGCCCCCTGAGGTGGCCGTAATTGGGGTTAGAAATCAGCCCAGCTGTGTTAGCTCAAGTGTGGGGGGGCTTCTGCTGAAAGTTGGCACTTTCCTTCCCAACTTCTCTAGGCTTTGTCTAGCTCTGCACCCTGTAGGATTTCCAGCCTCCCTGAGAGTCTGTCACCTGAAGATGTGTATCACCACAGCTTGCTTAGTTTATAATGGCTCAGAGAGTGAGAGTGACTAGCCCCAGGTCACACAGCCAGCCTGGGCAAGGCTGGTCTGGAGCTCAGGTCCCCTGACTGCTGGCCCAGTGAGGGTCCCTTTCGGCTTTGTTTCAGGTGAGGAAGGAGGGCATGGAGGACCCAGCTGGTATTCCCTGCCCCCCTCCCCACCCACATTGTCCCTTCCTCCTGCCTGGCCAGGAACCACAGTCTCTGAGTAGCCCTACCCCTCACCCTGGGCCTCACCCTTGCCCCTAAGTGGGCACCTCCATGCCTTCTCCCACCTTTCCTCTCAAATGCCTGTCAGCCCAGAGGGTTGTACAGCAGGACTGGGTGGGGAAAGGAGCCGGGGCCCTCTCGGAGACCCTCCAGGCAGGACTCACCAAAGCCAGGGTGCTGCCCGCGGCGGCTGCCAACATCCAGGGCAGGAACCACCTCATGCCTGGATGTCAGGGGCACAAGCATCCACCGAGCGGCCCAGCAGATCCGGCCACCTCTGGGGGGAGCTGGGCCCTCACTGCATGGCCCATCAGGAGCGCCAGCTCTGCCTCTTCCCCCAGCCCTTGGGGGCTTTTATGAAAGCAAGATCTGACGTCAGGTTAAGGACAAACCCTGCATTTTCCTCTGTAAAAAACTTTTCCTGCCTCTCTCCCTCTTTTTTCTTCCCTCCCCTCTGTCCCCACCTCCAGCCCAAGCTTGGCCAGCCTCCCCAGCTCTGACAGTTCTTAAAGGGGAAGTTGCCGGACTGAGATTTCACACAGGGATGGTGTATTCCCATCCAAGAAGCTGGGGTCTTTCTGTGGAGACCTTTCACCAAGGTAGGGAGGGACGCAGCATGGGAGGGTGCAGGGGCGAGGCAGGGCTACACTTTCCCAGGTGGTGCCTTTTATAGGGCCCTGCAGGGAAAGGAAGCCCCTCTCCTTGCTTGAGTTGCTTGGGGCTGTTCTCCCTTCTGGTTCTCATCTGTCATTCTTTGCCTCTGTCCCTTGCTATGAGCACAGGAGGATGGCTCTGAGCCCACCAAGGCAGGAATAAAGGAATTCATGAATGGAAGCAGCCTGAGGCTCGGGTTCTCGCCATGACCTGGACTGAGGGCAAAGCTGTTCTTCGTGGGCGGTGGTGGTGCAGTGCTAGAGTCCTCACCTCCCACATTGGAGGCCAGGGTTCGATTCCCAGCCAATGCACTTTCTGCACGGCCACCCCCTGTCTGTCCATGGAGGCTTGAAGGTGGTTATGATCCTGAACCAGTTTCAGAGGAGCTTCCAGACTGAGACGGACTAGGAAGAAAGGCCTGGCAATCTTGCAACACTCAGCCGACGAGGACACTGTGAGTCGGCCTGGTCTGATCTGCAGGTATCATGGGGATGAGGCAGTGCGGCGGCGGTCTGTTCGCTGGTGCCTGAGCGGTGAGCTGTGCTTCCAGGCCTCCTGGGGCAGCCCTCCCTGCCCTTCAGCCACAGACCGTTTGCCGCTGGTGCTGGCTCCCATAGCTTGTGCTTTTGCCCTTGGAGCTCCAGAATCTCAGAACAAGTATGAGGTGGGTAGACTTGGGCTCCGAAGAAGGTCCCAGGTGGGCCTGGGGATGTCTCTCCCTTGTGAGAGAAAGGTGAGGAGTCCTCGGTGGGAGCCTGATCTGCCCCAGTCCAGCCCCACCAACTCCCCTGTGGAGCCCTGAGATGGCTCCTGATGCTTCCCTCCCTCCTCCACCATCCCTGCTTCTCGGAGCAATCAGAGCAACCCTTGGAAAACTGAGCTAAGATCACATCACCCTCCGGAATACAGCGCCCACAGGCTGCTGGCACAAGGCGTGTACTCTCAGTCCCCGGGAGGCTTCCAAGGCCAAGTACTCCCTGAACCTTCTCTTTCCCAGCTCCCTCTGGTGCCCATGACTGAACCACCATGACCTCCTTGCCCTTCTCACACCCCAGCACATGCCCCTCTCGCCTTTGCACCTCGCCCTTCCCTCAGCCAGGAACACTCTACCCTGTGGTCATCATAGCAGTTACCCCTTCTCTTCTCCTCCAGCTTATTAACAAGGAGATGGAGAAGTATGTATGGCTGCTTGGAAGCAGTGGTAGGCCTGTGTCTGTGGAGGGGGTTTATGACCATAGACATAACCCCCTAGAAGTGACTCTGATAAAGTCTTCATTCATTCTGAAGACACAATATCCCTTATGAGACATAAAGGGAAATTTGCTGATGGCTCTCAGGAAGAAGTTCTTTCCCCAGGAGGAGAAAGACAGTCTCCACCTACCCTCTTCTTGTGTATGAATGTGACAGCAGGAGCTGCTGCAGCCATTTTGGGTCTATGAGGCCCAAGCCTGAGAATATAAAGCCAAACATGCCAAGGATGGCAGAACAGAAGGGAAGAGTGAGGCTTTGCAATGTGACCTTGAGACTTTGCAATGTGACCCAACCAAGCCTAGAACCATCACCTCCAGACTTCCTGGTATAGGAGATCATTCAATGTTTTATTCCTCACACCATAGTCTGCTAGGTATTTTTGTTCCTTGGAGCCAAATGCACCTTAATTAATGTATGAAAATCTACTGAAATCAAGAATGTAAAGTGACAAGGGGTGTTTTTGACATATAGAGACCATCCAATAGATGTCAGTTCTCATTTCCTTTTCATTAATTTACCTGATGCTCTTAAAAACAGATCCCATAAAGCAGGTACTCTGTAGGTGTCATTAAAGGGACCACCCAAGGTGTTAGGTGCCGGTTCAGCTCAGTGATTTGATGAACGCCGAGTACGGACAGACCCTGCGCTGTGAAATAGCTGGTGGTGCAAGTGATTAATGTGCTCTGCTCCCACCCGGAGGCACCTTTGAAGAAAGGCCTGGTGCTCTGTTTCTGAAAACCAGCCACGGAAAGGCCCAGTGAGCACAGCTCACCAGGCTCGCCCAGGCAAAGCCAGCCACTGGTCTTCTGTGTTACAAGATCTCTCCAGGAGCCCCTTCCTAGTCTGTAGCTTCTGACCAGTGTGCCTCCTTCAGGTTCCACCTCATCCCCCTCCCCTCCAACTTCCCACGAACCCCACCTGCTGCCCCGGCCAGAGGTCCCTGCAGCCAGCTTTGGAGTAGGTTCTCTCCAGGCCTGAGCAGAACTTCCGGCAGTTTCTCTAACAGGCCTCCCAGAGCAGCTATAAATAAATTCCAAAGAGGGACTGGTGGCTGGATTTGCAGAACAGCGACCAGCCGTGACTTAGCATGCTGAACAGTAAGTCTGTCTTGACCAGAACCAGACAAGCTGAAGATTCCAGAGACAATCCCAGGACCAGGCGTGGGGCTCCTGGGGCTGCTGTCGGTGCTGGATCTGCTCACAGCCTATATATCATTTATTAATTCCACAGACTTTCACCTTTGAAGCAGTGGGGACACCAGGGGAGTGCAGGAAGAAAAACTGTGCTGGGAGACTGTCAGAGGGGCTGATATCAAAATGACTGTTTATAAAACTTCTCTGTAGTGTCTCAGCAGAAATTTATTTATTTGTTTGTTTGTTTGTTTGTTTGTTTTATTGTGATTTGGGTGAAGATTTACAGAACAAATTCACTTTCCATACAGCAGTTCACACACACTTTGTCTCTTGACATTGACCACAATTTACCACAATGCAACAGCTCCCCTCCCACTTCCTCCCCATAGTTACCTCTTCCCAATGTCTATCCCTCCATGGACTCC